TAGAGAATTAGCTTTATTGTGGTTGATAATTAAAAAAGAACCCCAAAACCCCTCAGCTCTTTGACATCAAGTTGGAGTGGGTTTTTAGGAGGTTGTAAATTTGATGGGAAGAGAATGCCTATTATTTTTTCCCTGGGGTTGCTGGTGGATTTGAACTATCACAGAGTTTCTATTTTTGATTAACAATGTAACTTCCTATGGAGTATGCCAGACAGACAAAAAACAAAACAAAACAAAACAAAAAACCAATACCCCAGAAAAACCCAACAAACAAATTTCACTGAAAAGAGACAATTGAGTAAATATTAGAAGAAGTAAGCAAGGAGGGAGCCATATAGGTGTCTGGGCAAAGAGTGCTTTTGGTTTTGAAGCAGGTTGTGGAAAATGAGTTCAAGGGGCACCAGCATGACCAGAGTGACTGGAACAGTGAGGTGGCAGAACATGGGGGTGATGGAGTCTGTGCGATCTTGGAGGAGGCTGACCATGGAAAGCCTATTAGGTTGTGGCTGTTACTTTAGTGAGGTGGAGAGTCTTAGGAAGTCAAGGATTCAGTAAGTCAAGGCTTTCCATTATCACCTTCCTATTTAATGTTGTATTGGAAATACTGTCTAGGGCAATAGACAAGAGAAATAAATACGAGGCATCCAACTTGGCAACGAGGTGGTAAAACTAGCTATTTGCAGACAATATGATAAGAGTACACAGAGAACCTCAAAGAAAACTAGGTTAGACCTAGTAGACCACTTCAGTAGAGTATCGGGATATTAGATCAAGATACAAAAATCAGTTGGATTTCTCTACAGCAACAAAAAAAAACACAGAAAAGGATATTAGGATATTAGGTAAGCAGTAATGTTTATAGAGGCCAACCATAGGATAAAATACCCGTGAATAAATCTAACTAGAAATGCTTTATAGAGATACTTTTATAGAGACCTTTGTAAGGACAACTACTACAAAAAAGCACTACAACAAGAAATAGACTTAACTAAACCCTCTATGAGGTGGATTGATTTAGTGACTGGGGTAATCGGGATGGCTGTGTCAGAGGCAGTGCGATTGGCACAGGATAGAGCAGAGTTTAGGGCTGTTTTGCATAGGGTCACAAGCGACTTGACGGCACATAACAACAAATGGAAAAATATCCCCTGTTCATGCATAGGAAGACTGAAAATTGTGAAAATGACAGTCCTACCAAGGACAGTCTATATGTTTAATGCAATCCCAGAGCAAACACCAAACTGATTTCTTAAAGATATAAAAAAGGCAATTGGCAATTTTATTTGGAAAGGAAAGAGACCTCAAATGAGCAAAGTTCTTCTGAAAAATAAAAATGAAGTAGGAGGCATAGAATTCCCTG